GAGGAAATTGAGGCTGAACGTGCCTCTCGAGCAAAAGCTGAGAAGCATCGGGCTGACCTCTCAAGAGAGCTAGAGGAGATCAGTGAGCGCCTGGAAGAAGCAGGAGGGGCTACTGCAGCTCAGATTGAGATGAACAAGAAACGTGAGGCAGAATTTCAGAAGATGCGTCGTGACCTCGAAGAGGCCACACTGCAGCACGAAGCCACGGCTGCTGCGCTGCGGAAGAAGCATGCGGACAGCACAGCTGAGCTCGGGGAGCAGATTGACAACCTGCAACGAGTGAAGCAGAAGCTGGAGAAGGAGAAGAGTGAGCTGAAGATGGAGATTGATGACTTGGCCAGTAACATGGAGTCTGTCTCCAAAGCCAAGGTACTGAAATATTTCTTTGTGATAATCCAAACATAATCGAGTATTTATATTTTAACATAGAAATTAAGTTAGTCATACTTTAAAATAAATAGTTGCAGTTTACAACTTGAATTTGAGTTTATGTATTTCAGTATTAGGATAATAACACATTGTATCTTTTGGGGGAGAGCTAAAAAAACTTCACCTGAAACATCTAACCTAAGAAACTATAGGATCTCATTGCTTGGTTCAGAATATTATGATAGTGATATGAAAGGCACTGACCTTATCATTTTTTTATTTCTTCTATAATAGAAATTACTCCTACCCTACCCTTTCCTTTTTATTCCTAGTTTTGTTTTCCTTCCTTAAATACTTCAATAACATAATCACTAAGAGCCAACAGAAATTTTAAATAACTGCTTATGTTACAGTGTCCCATCATCCTCTTGATCTATTGAAAAAATGGAGTGTACATTAATAAATTATACAAATGCTGGAATTAGGGATATAAACTTCATAGAAAGACATATCAGTTAACCGAGACATTTTGACTTTACTTCTAAATCATTGAGTTCTTTTTTTTCCCTTTGTGAGACTTCAGATTCTCAGTAATTATATGTTGAACCACCAATCATCTTTCATTCTGTTCTTCATGCAAATAGGCAAATCTGGAGAAGATGTGTCGCTCCCTAGAAGATCAACTCAGTGAGATTAAGACAAAGGATGAGGAACAACAGCGCACAATTAATGACATCAGTGCTCAGAGAGCTCGGCTACAAACAGAATCCAGTAAGACATTTGTGTTTTTTAAGAGAACACTGTATATGACCTAGGGCTTTAAAAAAAAGGTCAAAAAGACCTAGGGATCTTGGTGGAAATGAAGTTGACCATAAGTCAGAAATGTGCTCTTGTGACAAAGAAGGCCAATGAAATCCTGAGCTGCACTAGGAGAAGTGTTGCCAGCAGGTTAACAGAGGCTGATCCTTTCTTCTCCTCAGCACAGGTGAGGCCACACCTGGAATGTTGTGTCCAGTTCTAGGGTCTCCAGTACCAGAGAGATACAGACATCCTGGAGCAGGACCAATAACATGTTTAAGGGACTAGAACAACCAGTCACTGGAACAACCTCCCCAGGGGTGTCACAGAGTTCCCACTACTGTAGGTTTTCAAGACACAATTGGACAGGGTGCTAAATAATCTGACCTAGGCTCCCTTTCCCATGAAAGACTGGACTGGATGGCCTTTCGAGGTCTCTTCCAACCTGGACTGTTCTATGATTCTATGACTGGAGTTTCAAAGAAGAACTCATCTATCTCTTAACCTAGACTTCATCCTTCTGCTTCCCAGGAGACATTCAGAAAAAGACAGTGACATACCTGAGCACATACATCATATAGTACTCATTCTGTAAGACTGAGGCTTGAAGTGACCACTGGACTTAGTGCAAACATACAGTAAGACTAGTCAGATAACGGACAAGGGGGCATGATGTGTATCATTTCTTGCTTCTAAGATACTTTGGCATACTCAGAGATATGGATAGATATCAGTGATTAAGACTCCATGAAAGAAATAAAATTTTGTTTAACTCAAAATATTTTTATGTGCATTTAATTATCAAGGTTAACACTTTTAAATAAGTTATTAAAAGATTCTTTCATTCATCTGTACTCTCCCAGATGTACACATTTCTGATGTGCAAATGAATAATGTTAGAGAGTTAATACAGAAATGACCCTCCTGGGCACATGGTCTGTCTAACATGCTTTGTCTCCCCTGTAATGAGAACTGCATGAAATGGGATCATAAGCTTCTGCAAGGTCTGTTAACTGTCAGGTTTTACAACCTGAAATGTCCACAATACTTTCATCAATGGCAATAAAAGACTTGCGTACCTGCAAACTTTCCCAGGTGAATATTCACGCCAAGTGGAGGAGAAAGATGCTCTGATTTCTCAGCTGTCTAGAGGGAAGCAGGCATTCACTCAACAGATTGAGGAACTCAAGAGGCACCTAGAGGAAGAGACAAAGGTGAGAAGGTTTTCCATATTCTGTCCTATCCATGGGATTCCTCCTGACTAGGAGGAGATTCAGATACATATGAAATTGCAGCATCAACAAGATGAGAGAGAGAAAAAAAAAACCACAGGTAATTCAGTGCAAGTCTTCCCATATTAGCTTTGCTCCTCCTTCCCTGCAGTCTATCCATTAATTCTTTGGCAGATTCCTAGATCTTCCTTTCTCAACCAGTAGCTTGCCATCATTCTCACAGAGAATAATCCAGGGTCCATCAACATTTCATTTAGGAGATTTTCCAGGATATTTCCATTCATTGTCACACTACTATTTTTCCCCCAGGCCAAGAATGCCCTGGCCCATGCCTTGCAGTCTACTCGCCACGACTGTGACTTGCTGCGGGAACAATATGAGGAGGAGCAGGAAGCCAAGGGGGAGCTGCAGCGTGCCCTGTCCAAGGCCAACAGTGAAGTCGCCCAGTGGAGAACCAAATACGAGACGGATGCTATTCAGCGCACAGAGGAGCTGGAGGAGGCCAAGTACGTGAGGAATGTGTACAACGCTGGCAGAGACTAAGAATGGGAATTTGAGGAGACCATTCTGATATTGCCAGGAAGAAGTCAATGTTCTCCTTTGGGGTGGGGTGCCACAAAGATAGAAAATCTCCACTGGGGAAAAGCAGGAGCAGCAAAGCTCTTCAAACGCAGAACAGCAGAGGGATGCTAGTGTGAACAGCAGGGTGAATAGCAAAGAGTGAATTTCTGCAGCCCAGGATTCAGATGTAGAAATATAGTGGCTGGCTGGGAGAGCTTCTACACCTCTGTGTAAATGGGGATCACACACTACCAAGCAGCTAAGTGTGCTTTTGTGAAAGACATATTGGCTGCACACCACAGGCTCCCCTTTGCTTCCTCACCTGGACCTGTGCTTACCACCTCCCAGGAAGAAGCTGGCACAGCGCCTGCAGGATGCAGAGGAACACGTCGAAGCTGTCAATGCCAAATGTGCTTCCCTGGAAAAGACAAAGCAGAGGCTGCAGAATGAAGTGGAGGACCTGATGATTGATGTGGAGCGATTCAATGCTGCCCGTGGCGGTCTGGATAAGAACATTTGACAAGGTCTTTTGGGCTGCAGGCCTGGGGTTCCTGGGCAGGGCATGCCCTCCTGATGGCTACATCCATACTGAGGCCTCATTTGTCTTCAGATCCTGGCAGAGTGGAAGCAGAAGTATGAGGAAACACAGGCTGAGCTGGAAGCGTCCCAGAAGGAGTCTCGCTCTCTCAGCACAGAGCTGTTCAAGATGAAGAATGCCTATGAGGAGTCCTTGGACCACCTGGAAACGCTGAAGCGTGAGAACAAGAACTTGCAGCGTAAGTCCCTGGCCCTCTGCTCTTGGCTGGACTTTCTCACTGTCCATTGCTCCACGTGTGTCTGTGCCTGCAGGTCTGCAAAGTTGTCTGTTACCTTGGTGTGGCAGAGCCCTTCCCATTCTGCTCAGTGCCTGACCATGTCAATGCTCTTTGTTCTCATAGAGGAGATTTCTGACCTCACAGAGCAGATTGCCGAGGGAGGAAAGACAATTCATGAGCTGGAGAAAGTCAAGAAGCAAATAGAGCAGGAGAAATCTGAACTCCAAGCCTCCCTGGAAGAAGCTGAGGTACACAGCATTATTTATTGCTCTCTTATACATTCTGGAATTCTGTCTCTTTAGAAGTGCTGTGAAGTCATTCCCAGACACAAGAGGAAAAGAGTGTTTGTATAAAAGTGTAGAGATATTATCTAAACATGGCACTCCTTTTTACTCAGAGCTTCAGATTCAGCATTTGTCACATAAAAAGTATTCTAACTTATTCATGTCCAGGCCTCCCTAGAACATGAAGAGGGGAAGATCCTGCGCCTCCAACTTGAGCTCAACCAGGTGAAGTCAGAGATTGACAGGAAGATAGCAGAGAAAGATGAGGAGATTGACCAGATGAAGAGAAACCACCTCCGAGTTGTGGAGTCCATGCAGAGCACCCTGGATGCTGAGATCAGGAGCAGAAATGAAGCCCTGCGGCTGAAGAAGAAGATGGAGGGCGACCTGAATGAAATAGAGATCCAGCTGAGCCATGCCAACCGCATGGCTGCAGAGGCACAAAAGAACCTGAGAAACATACAGGGAGTGCTCAAGGTCCATTGAACAAAAGTTGCCTACAGAGAAATGTCTTTGCTGATATTTTCAGTGCCAAACAGCTCTGAATCTGCTTATAATTTCTTTTAATGGCTCTACAGGATACCCAGATGCACTTGGACGATGCTCTCAGGACACAGGAGGACCTGAAGGAGCAGGTGGCCATGGTGGAGCGTAGAGCAAACCTCTTGCAGGCTGAAATTGAGGAGCTACGGGCAGCACTAGAACAAACAGAAAGGTGTAGAAAGGTGGCTGAGCAGGAACTGATGGATGCAAGTGAGCGTGTGCAGCTCCTCCATACCCAGGTGAGATTGCTTGGTGAGAAATGGCATTCTTGGTAAGTAGGAGAACACTTGTATGTTTTATTCCAGTAACTCTGGGAGGCTCAACTTTGAAGACAAGAGTTATCTTTTCTGAAGTAACCATACTGATACTAAAAGAGATCTTTCCTGAAAAAGTGTGTTCCTGAATGCACCCATGCATCTATCTTCTTTGCATCTGAACACAACCTCCAGAGGAAAGACATTTAGTCACAGGGATCAGATATTTTAGTCACACATGCCAAATGGTCTGCCGTCTCAGCAGTCAGGGACTGAAATTCTGAGACTACAGCAACATTCATTCCTTGCTCAGTTGAAATGTAGCAGTAAGGAATCCTCATATTCCTTCAAAAATGTGCCTGTCCACTCTAGCAAGAAAGTGGAGATGAACTCCTGGCTCTGATGTAGCCTATGTCAAGCAGACCTTGACACGAGCTACATGTCACAGCAGTCATCCAGCAGTCAAGTACTGAAATCTATGGGAAGTGTCTGGTTTCAAATGCTGAAAAGATTCTGGAAGGAATCCATCATATCTACATTACAAATATTTCTCTTTTCAGTTGATAAGATTTGATTACTCTTCCCTAATTATGTCAAAGAGAAGGCATTTCTCTGACTTCCCTCACTCTACTTTTATTACTTTCTTGTGCCAGACTTGGTGGATGAGATGTGGCATAGATTATATTTCTAAGTACTCTTTTTCAAATTAATAAGATTAATTGTTGGAGAAAAAAAAAAAAAAGCACTGTTCCCCAGTGATAAGAAATTTTACAGAAAAATTTGTGATATTGATTTTTCATATAATTATGTCTGAAATGATTCAAAATCCTATAATGTTCTTGATTTGAAATAATGAGCTAACAAAACCAAACCTCTGATGCTCTTCAACAGAACACCAGCTTGATCAACACCAAGAAGAAGCTGGAAACAGACATTGCCCAAATTCAGGGTGAAATGGAAGAAACAGTCCAGGAAGCCCGCAACGCTGAAGAGAAGGCCAAAAAGGCCATCACAGATGTGAGTTGGGGACTCCATTCACTATTGGTGGTGGATGTATTCTCCTCAAAATGTCTCCAGCCCCAAAATGGTTTTAAACCTTTGCTTTCATCAGGCAGCCATGATGGCGGAAGAGTTGAAGAAGGAGCAGGACACCAGTGCCCACCTGGAGAGGATGAAGAAGAACCTGGACCAGACAGTGAAGGACCTGCAGCACCGTCTTGATGAGGCTGAACAGTTGGCTTTGAAGGGAGGCAAGAAACAAATCCAGAAGTTGGAGGCCAGAGTGCGTAGGGCTTTTATTTGTGCATGAGTGAGCACATCCCTTGGAGAAACACCAGGGAAGCTCCAAAGATGGTCTGCTCATTGCAGGTGCGGGAGCTGGAAGGGGAAGTTGATGCTGAGCAGAAGCGCAGTGCTGAAGCTGTGAAGGGTGTGCGCAAGTATGAGAGGTGGGCGGAGGGGATGCACAACAAGGTAAGGCAGGAGGCCTCCTTGAGCTCATGCATCCTTTTTGCAGGAAGCCAATATGTAGCCCTTAGGGCTTTCTTTCTGTCCTGAGCCACACAGTTAAAAAGGAGAAGGCTGAGAACATCAGAAGAAATTATCTTTCTGGTCATGTTAGGAAGATTCATCTTATCACCTCTGTTTTACTGGACAGCAATGGTCTACAAGGAATGTTACTCTCTGTTTCATATAGAGGGAATATAAAGAGAAGGGACAAAGAGGCGCTTCTTTTTTTTGTCATTCTTTTTAGTCTGAAGAAGACAGGAAGAATGTTCTCAGGCTCCAGGATCTGGTGGACAAGCTTCAAATGAAAGTGAAATCCTACAAGAGACAAGCTGAGGAGGCTGTAAGTATTGCTGTGTGCAGAGTCAGTCTCCATTCAGGTGGAGGTGGAATTCTGTGTTGGTGTTTTCCCCTGTGAAACTCTCTTTGAACCCTTAACTTCTTTGTGTGTTTCTCACTGTGCACTCATGAACGAACAGTTGAACAGCTGTTCTGGCTGAACAGCTCAGGAGTCTAGAGGGATGTAGAATACATTTTCTGTGAGCATTATTGCATCATTGGGAAGAGCAGCCAAGGCTTAGGTCAACATTGTGGGAGTAGGTCTCTGCATCCTTTCACTTTCTTTAATTCATTTTTCTGCCTAGCAGAAAAAAAAAATTACCTTCAAAAATTGTAATACATAATTTTATAGCAGTAAATAAATGGAATATTATTTAATAGAATTACTCTGTTATTATATACAATTATTCAAAAAGTCCAAAGTGCGTTAGCACTTTGTATCCAGAGAGGGTTTCCTGGTGTATCTCATTAACCATCTAAACAATTAGCATGTAAGCTATTTATTTGGATTCCCCCTAGAAGTATTAGAGAGAATTACACACTAACTCACAGACTTTTTTTTTTTTCATTATGTAAAGGTAAAACACCACAGCATGTCCAGCATAGTGTTACAGTAGGAACACTATTAAACATTTTAAAACTCATATTATCTCTTCCTATCCCCAGGAGGAGCTGTCCAATGTCAATCTCACAAAGTTTCGCAAGATCCAGCATGAGCTGGAGGAAGCTGAGGAGCGGGCTGACATTGCAGAATCGCAGGTCAACAAGCTCCGAGCAAAGAGCCGTGAAATTGGCAAGAAGGCAGAAAGTGAAGAGTAAATGCCTTCAGTGATGTGAAGTGAGAGTTGCACAAAATGTGAAATTCTATCACTTTGATTTAGTAATCACTGCTTAGTCCTTCATCAATCTCTAGATAATTAATGACTAGATAATAAAAATTGTAGAGATTTTCCTGTTGAAATAATGAGAAGTTCACTGTTGTATTTTAATCATTACCCTGAATTCTTATAAGGTTTACATTTTCCACTCAATTAAAAATCTTGCTTCAGGTATTTTCAAAGTGTTTCAGCCACTGTTAAAGTCATCTAATAAGACATCCTGCTTCATTCTCACCATAGAATTTCGTCTAAGACTTCCTTAAAGGAGAAAATGTTTTTTTCTTTGCAACAGAATGTCATTATCCTTACAACTTCTGCTTTAGGAATACAATAGATTTTGACTCAAAGGTTCTGTCCAAAGAATAAGAATGTACTGCATCTTCCAATAATCCAGTCTAACCATTGATTATTCTATTAAATCATGTGTCTCATTTGCAAGAAGGTCTTTTTTTCAGGTTAAACCTCTTCAGTCCTTCAAGACAATTTGAAACACAGTTTAGAGGAGATTTAAACCTAAAATGAGATCTACTTTTAACTGTTGTTCATGAAAGTGATGTGCAAACCAACATTCCAAGGGAAGCACGACCAGCTACATCGTAATAGTTGTTCATTGTCTATATTCTGTTCCCAAAAGTCCCCTGAATCTTCTAAACTGGTCAGGCAATCACTTAGCTCCTATGTAGTCTCCAGGGTAATCTAGATATCTTTGTCTAGGTTGGCTTCACTCAAAATGTGGGTTTTCATTCTTTGTAGATATCAGCATACATCAGAGAACCCATGGTCACCTCTCTGAAAACAAGGAGAAATAGGCGTCACTTTCTCTGTCATAATCCAGTACTTAGAGCATTTGTCCTTCCACAGTCTGATGGGATTTGAACCACTGAGACCTTCTTGGGATTGTGTCATTTTCCACCTGGAAATAAGATAATTGGAGAAGCCAAATTGACCAATGAAGATGCACTGCTATGCCTTCAGGAATAAAAAATAATTATCTACAATGAAAAATGTCAAAACGGTCTCTGTAGGATAATAGAGAAAATACTCATCTGGGAAAAGGGTGACTGCATTTGATAGACATCAGCACTACTGAATGGCTGGCAATTCACTAGTGTTACATGGGTCTGTCCAACTCCTTTTTTGATCAGTGTAATGAATCTGATAACTTCTTAGAGTTCCCAAGCACGAAGGAAATTCAATTTTCTTCATTCTGAGTTCAGCCATACCCTAAGACTTTCTTCCTCATCTCTCCCATCTTCTCAGGTCTCATATCATCTTCTTCCTTTCATACCTCAGTGTTAACTGCCAATGAAACTGTGGTGTTATCTGCTGTGTTTTGAAGAAGTACAGAGCAGAAGGCTATCATAAACAACACAAAGTAGTCATTTTCCTCACAGAAGACTTCTGTTTGTAGTTTCTTCATTTGGCTTGCTGCTTCTGAAAGGAGTGATATAGCCCACAACGCATCTGCCATTTGGCATTGAGACACCACTGTCTCAGACTGATCTTACAACCACTGTATTTCTCAGAGAACACAGGTTAGACTAAACATTGCAATTTATGCATATGTGTGTGTACATACATACATACATGTATTATACATATGTACACACACATACAAAGTTTCCAAAGTTATTTTTTCAGCAGCATACATGAACATGTATGTTACTGTTTCATCACTGATATATAACCAAGGTCAGAAGTAGTAACTATTTTTAGCATTCAATTTCAAGGCTTTGATATAAGCGTTTTACAGCTTTACAGTTCAGCTTCCCCTGACTGTACTCCTTCTTTAGTGTCACCATATCTCCAAACTTATTCCCAGAGTCATATGTCAGACACCTGAGAAATTAAATCTGCAGGATTAATTGCCCACCTGTGAAAAGTATTGCTACCAAGTTCCTTTCGGAGGAAGAAAAAAGGTGATAAATCTGCATGCAGCCTTTATACTATGTAGGTAGCCCTGTTTTCATGTATGCCACATAAATAAAAGCAGTAGAAAGCCTCCTTGCTCAGAAACCCTTTTACCTGCCTAAGAACTGATCAGGCTTTTGGGTGCCCTGCTTCCTACCTTTCATGATGGTTTTTTCCTGCCTCTGACTCAAGTAGATCATCCTTTTCTTTCAGGGAGTGTGTGGACTTCTGACTAGATTGTAGTCTAAACTGTTACTGTCCACAGATATGAACTTTATAGCTAGTAGCTCCACTCTTTCAAAACAGCTTTGCTTGCATTCCAGTGTAAAGACAGGTTTTTGCTTTTACACAGGCACTTTCCTGTCTGCTTTGCAGCATATGCACAGGATGAAACCCTGGCTTACAAAACATGGGTTGCAAAAGCCCTCCAAACTCTGGGATCCTTATCAGTTCATTACAGAAACCAAGGCTGACAGGTCCATTTTATCAACCTAACAGGACAGCTCAGCCATGAGGGAGAGTTTGTAAGCCCACTGGCAGCAGCAGCAGATAATATTATTCCTGTGGGACAGGCAACATCTCATCACCCATGGACATCAGCTGGTGTGGTCACAGGGCTGTGCAATGTTGTGGCAAGTACAGCAAACCTTCTCTGACTGTGGAGTGCTGCAGTTCATATGTACAATTCAACTGTGTCTAACAGGCTGACTGTGAGTTATCAAACCCTGAAGAGGAGGCTGGGCAACAGCTTCTCCCCCTGTTAGCCTACCACACCTTCCAGACACTGTGCAAAGACTTTGGTGAGCTATGCCAACCCGAATGGATGCAACAGATCTGATCTCTTCAGATTCTGTACAATATTGGGCCATTCAAGTGACACCACTGGCACCAGAAAAAATGCCTAGTCTACTTGGCATCACAACATTCACAAATGGTAAAACAAGCTGATGAGGCCTCAGACGTTAGCTAACACCAGTAAAAACACCAAGTTTGACTCTTTCTGCTTCCTCTCCAAATGCCCCTTCAAAGGTACTCGTCCTCCAGCCCAGGGGAGCACAGGGTGCAGTGGGAACCCCCAAAGAACATGCACCTTTGCCGGGCCCCTCCCAGGGCTGTCCTGATGCAGCACAAGGTCCAAGATCCAGGTATGAAACCCACTGCCATGAGACGCAAGGAGCATCTCTCCTTTTGAATTGAGAAGGGTTGCTGCCAGGATGTGTGGGGGATGCATTGGGGGATGCGTTGTGGGATGCAGGGGAAGAGTAGTTGGGATCGTTCAGGGCTGGTGATGGGAGGTTTAAGAGAGGAACAAAAGGTGTGGAAGAGGAGGGGCTTAGCTGATCTGGAGCAACCACAGGAAAAAAGAGGGGTAAGGAGATAAAAAGTGTAAATAGTGGCTGGTCAGTACGCTTGTCTGGCCATGCCCTGTGCCTGATCATTGTAGTCTGTCCTGTCTTGTTATTAAACTCCTTCCTACTCTGTCCTGGGTGAGGGTTCCCTATTCATTGTGTGTGGGGTGTGAATGCAAGAGTTGGAAGTCCTGTATGTCCATGATGCAACAACTGGATCAAGTGCGGGTGTGCAAGTGAATGTGTAATTGCAAGTGAAGCTCAAGCAGATCATCTGGTGAGCAGGTGAGATGGCCTGGGAGCAAGGAGTGAGTAGGTTCTGCAGTGGGCAGCCCTGGCTGTGAAAGTGCTTGTGTCTGGAGAGGCAAGAGCTGAGGAACCAAGTGAGTCCCAGTCAGCTGCATGTGGGTGGGGAACAGTCTGTACCAGCAACTGGAGTAGGCCTCCAGTGTCAGGGGCCTGTATGTCCAGGTGCCAGCAACTGGGGAGACTGGGATCCAGGGGCAACTACTGGCCAGACTGAGTGTCTGAGCCTAGCTGCCAGAGGGATCCACCTTGTACATATATATTTATATTCTTGCTAGTAGACCTCCATCCTGCTCAGCCAGAGATGGGGTCAGGATGAGGCTGTTGGTGCTGTCTGTGTTTGTGTAAGCACTCTGAGTGTCTGTAGGACCAGTCACATAGATATATACGTAAGTATGTATGAATCTATAGATTTATACATGTATAGATCTATTTATGTACGTAAATGCATATACAGGGGCATATACTTTTACTCTGTGTGTTTTTGCCTCCTGGGAATTCATCTTCAACCTTGCTACAGGGCACATAAACCAGGGGGCACGGATCTGGAGGCATTGAGCTGCAGCATCCTTGCCTCTCTCAGGCTGTTGGATCCAGCATGGTGTATTTTCCTTTAACGTCTAGGATAGTTGAGCTGTAAGTATTCCCAAAATAGCAGATTCAATATTCCCAATATGGGGAGGGAACTGATCCTTTAGCAAATGTGCTCTACCTGTTAGAATTATTTACCAAACATTTGGAATATTGTGAGGGAAACTTCTGGACTAACCAGCGTGATGGACTGAGAAATACATACATAATATTGTGTACATGAAGACTGGTATAAATTGGCTTTGTGAGTAGAGTTTATTTCTTTTGAAAAACTGTTAGCCACCATAAACTGAGTCCTAACTATATAGACCATGAAGCAGGTAGAGACCGGAGAGCTAAGGCCAGGTTCTCTGCAAACCACTTGTTGGAAGCTGAGTTACAGAGATATTGACAATTGCAAATGAGTGTGCTCAGCTTACAGAAGAGTTTCTAATTTTACGAAGTCCAATAACAGGGGTCCAGGTCATACAGGAATACTATGTGCTCTTGGGAGGGATGAAAGGTGCAAATTTCAGCCTCACTTTCCTATTAAGGACTTTGTGCTTTTTGCCCTTTCCCTGCCTCCTTTGTCTCTACACCCTGCCTTTTTAATTCTTTCTTTGAAATGAAACTTGTAGCTGTAAGTACTGTAAATATGGGGATAGTGCATGTGTGAACACTGTCAATAACATGCAGAATACAGCTGTGCAATTCCCCCGCGGGGTGTATACCTGTGCTCTGTGTGCATGTGCGTGCTGGGAATACATCTGCAGCCTTGGTACTGGTTGGAGCTGAGAGCATGAAGCTGTGGCATGTTACATTTTCCTCTAAAATCCTGGACTTGCTGAATTGCTGTCACAAGAGTATCTATGAGTTCCTTCAAATGGCTTCAGGTGGGAAGAACAGGAAGGGAGCTAAAAAGAGTTGGTGCGGGGTCTTCCCTGTTA